TAGAGCATAAGCTTTCGTGGACTAAGTGGGCTGTAGTCCACGAAAGCTTATGCTCTAATAAATTTGTTAGTCTCTAAGGTGCCACAAGTCCTCCTGTTCTTCTTTTTGCGGATACAGATTAACACGGCTGCTACTCTGAAACCTGTAATTAAATAAATATAACTCTACTCTACAAATGTGGTGGCTTGCTGGTGAATCATTATTCACATCTCGTTCTCTCCTCTAATTTATTATATATAAATATGCTGCTTCCATATTATACATTTGTCCCCAGAGCCCATACCCCCTCTTGCACCCCAACCCTGCCTCATGTTCCCACACAACTCAGCCCCTTTCTGTTAGGGATTCCCTTCTCCTCTGATGATTAGGCCCCCAACCTGTACAGACTTATGCATGTGCTTAACTTCGTACATCGTGAATTAAGGGGACCACACACACAGTGGGGAAAGACAAACATGTATTATAGTGGTCTTAGACTGTACACCATTTGGGGCAGCAACTATATTTTATTATATGTTTAGGCTTGGAAGGATTAGAATGTTGTTGGTAAATGTCAGTAAACGACTTCATTGCACAAATCAATGAAATGATATTTCCAACACTAAAAATTGAAATTTATAGCTAGACAAAGTAAAAAAAAAAAAAGTGCTTGAAAACTTATTAGAATTTGATTGAAGAATGTTTAGTTTGTATATTTTGACATGTGATATTGATTATTTGTGTTATAACCGTTGTTATAAAGCTTTAACTTTTTGAACCTCAGTGTCTACTGTCATTAAATAATTATTGTCTGATTCCCACTGAAAACTTAAATTGATTAAAAAATGAAAAAGCTAAAACCCATAATTATGCACAACTGTGAAAATTTTAATAGATAAAAAAGCTTAAAAATAAACATTCATATTATCCATTAAAACTATAAATATAAATTGAAGTTTGTCAAGCCTGTATGTGTCTGACAAAGCCTAGCACAAAGAAGCCGCAGTCTTGGTTGGGGCTTCTAGCACTACTGTAATAAAAATAATAAAAAAAATTCTTAAATGATTGAATTGCATGAATCACTCAGAATAATAGTGTTTCTAGACTTGAAAATAAATGTCTATTTTGCCTAGGAAATATTTTCTATAAATGCCTCTTTCTTTTGCATCAATATTTATATTGCAGCAGGACACTATTATCCTCTAATGACAACTTATTCCATAAACATTATCTCAGAAATAAAGTAAAAATAGCTAAATGCATGCCAGGTGTGTATTGTATTGTGGGTGCAGACCCATCATACCAACAATTTGAGTATGTGGTGACATTTTACATATTCCTGATTTCTGTAACATTCGGTCCTTCAGTACTTAAATGTTTCACTAAATTCCCTGCTCTGAGAATTGTGTTAATATAGTTTTGTGAGTCCAATGGAAAAAAAAGTATTCATGCATAAAGATTTTTAATTAGGAGGGAAAAAACTCAACTTTTTACGGCAGGGAACCTTTTGAAAAGCAAAACTTAATTATTTCTTTCTGAAAGATTTCTTTTCAAGTATTCTTACTTTCAAAAATAAGTGGGGATGGGGACAACATTTCAAGCAAAAGGTCAGTAATACAGAAGAGTACATTTGGATAGCTAGTGCAATGGAGAGGCTGATAGGAACATGAGCTCTCCCTTAATCACACTTAATAAAATCAGTTGGTGGACTTCATAAAAGCCGGGGACAATTTCTGCCAGCTCCATATGCATCCTTACCCTCCTGCTGACTTAATCATTCCTGCTCTTAAGCAATGACTATAAACAAAGCTCACACAGAGGAATGCAGTGTCTTCCTGCTTAATTTAGATAACTACCTTTTATGTTTTGCAATCTGTTTGTTCTAGTCTGTAGTACTGAGTTCTAATGAAATCTTTCTGTCTATTTTAGACAAATATCACTTGCTGTGCCATAGCACATGGATTTCAGGACCTCCTGTGAAGAGGTAGGATCAGAATGTTTTATTTTCAAATAAGTGATATGAACATTAATATACTTTTTGGTCTTCTGTTCTCAATCTTTTATTTCTGAAGTGCAAGGAATTGGAACATCAGATGTAATTGAATCCGTAAACATGACTAGATAATCCCTATATGCTGGCAGCGTGCTTTTCTAGTGGATTATGTGCCTGTTTACTTATCAGTGTTCTAATGAGGTAATTACGAGTGTTGAGAAAATAAGACTGAGTTGGAACCTGATAATAGCCTTCAAATGTGTTAAAGGCTATTATAAAGAGAATGGTATGATCAACTGTTCTCCATGTCTACTGAAGGTAGACCAAGAAATAAGCAGTCTGCCATAAGGAAGATTTAGGTTAGATATTAGGAAAAAAACATCTAATTATACTTTAGATTATGCTATACTATATTACGCTATTCCAACTATAAGGATAATTAAGTACTGGAATAGGCTTCCAAGGCACGTTGCGGAGTCCCTGTACTGGAGGTTTTTAAGACCAGGTTAGATAATAACTGTCAGGGATGGTCTAGATTTACATGGTCCTGTCTTGACATGGGTCCCTTCGAGCCAGTGGTGGATTAATGATTTTGCCGCCCCTAGGCCCTGAAATAATTGCTGCCCCTGGCCCCATATGAACTTATTAAGTATCAATATTTTCAATATCAACACCAATATTTTCACTTTTTACTTCACTACTACTTTCAACTATTTTTCCTGTCTCAGAAATTGCAAAAGTGCACAAAATAGATTCCTTTGTTGTATCATTTCATTTTCCCTTTCTTTCTTTTGTATAGCATTTTTTTTTAACTGAGAACCACTTAATTTCTTCCTTCTGGTCATATTATAATGTTTACGATTCTCGTGAGTATGTTTACTAAATGGCGTCAGTGACGCCGTGGTTACAAAAATGCTGCTATTATAAATTTGTCACCTCTGCAAATTTGCCACCTTGTTGGTCTAGGCGATAATACGCCGCTGCTTCCAGCTCTACATTTCTATGATTCTATAATTAAAGCCCCTGATCCAGCAGTGAGTTTTGTGTGGAAACACTCCTGTAGACCTCATTTGGGTTCCATACATATGCAGGGTCTGCCTGCATTGACCTTGTGGCAGGATCAGGTCCTAGATGAGTATTGCTTGAAGCCTGTGAGGATTGGTATAACTGGAGAAACAGGAATATGCTGACAACATAACATGCTATCAAAATCAGAGGAGAATCCATAGGGGGGTTGGGAGTGTTTTGGTTTTGGTCAACTAAAAAAAATTGAAAACTTTTTTTCATTTCTTAATTCCTCCCCCAGTAATAAAAGACATTTTGTGCCAAAATGAAATGGTTGTTTTGATACAAAATACACACATTTTCAAAAATTCAATGCAAGCCAAAATAATCTCAATCCTCCAAAATTTACAATTTTCCAGGGACAAAAATGTGTTACTTTTTATACTTAACACCATTTTTTTTCTTGCAAAATGGCAGAAGTTCTTCCATAAATAAATTGGCAAATGTTTGTGCAGATATCCAGTTTTTCCTTTGAATATACATTCACTCAACTTTAGCGATTCATGAGCTTCTGTGTTTCATTATTAGGAGTGGGGCCAGTTTCATCAACCTGGATAGCTTTGTAAATACATTATTATAGCAAAAATCACCGAAGGAAAAACTGCAGTCTACAGACTGAAAAGAACAAACAATAGGAGGTGATAACTGGAAACAATGGTTATGATCACAATCCATCATAATGTTGAAAACTCCTGGATTGTACACCTGAAAATATGAGGCTCTGATTAGTTGGTGTTTTCAGTATGTATTAAACAAAAGGTACACATTTAGGCTCTGTTCATGGGATACATATTTTGTAATTAAAATTATAGGACAGCAGACGTTTCATATGAATTCACTTCATTTCAGTCATGCTTGACAGCAAGTAAAGAGACTCTCATTTGGAAATTAGCCTCTATTGTTAGCAAAAATAAAATGGATAAAATGATTAATCTAAAATATTGCCAACCCGTCAATCCAAACTAAAATTATCGCTAGCTTTAAATGTTCGGCATTTTTCTCCTTCTCACACACATGACAGACTGGAAGGACTAGAACTCTCAAGAGACAATCCACTCTTGCAGAGCCATAGTTGAACTTTTTGTTCCTCTTCCACTAACTGTAGCTAAAGAGACACCACATCAACCCTGGGTGAACACTTTTCAGAAAACGATCACTTCATATCTGACCTCTCAGTCCTCATCCTCAAAGGAAACTTGCACAACACCTTCAAAAGATAAACCTCTGAGCTTAAATTCATAACGTTTTTAGACACTAAAGACACTGGATTTCTGGCTTATTACAACAATCTATAACCCACTAACCCTCCTTTGTCCTACAACTGCAGATATGTTAACTCCCCATTTCACCTTAAATGGTCTCTTTCAACATGTTAACTCCTTAAGCTAAACAGCCTGTTTCACATGGTGTTCAGCTGTGACATTCTGACAATCTTTCTCAGACATGAAGCAGAGCTCTGTGTAAGCTCAAAAGCTTGTCTCTCTCACCAACAGAAATAAGTTGGTCCAATAAAATATATTACCTCACCCACCTTGTCTCTCTAATATCCTGGGACCAACACAGTTACAGCAACACTGCAAACAGTTTTGTATCTAGTTATGAATATGTTTATTTTATCTCAAAGGTCAACACAAGGACTTCTGAGATAATTTCACTCTCATAAGGTAGAGGGAAGAGTCAACTGATGATAACATTTCCCTCTTGTGGCTGCACTCGCTGAGGCTCTTCAGTTTAGATTCTTCCATAGCACTTAGACTCAAATAACTCGTTAAGCACTTCAAATAGAAAGTGTCCATTAAAACACACATTACACTGCTCTACAGCCAAAATGCTTCTGAAATAAATGTAGTCAAACTTTAC